AAAGAGCTGTGACAGTCTGTATGCAAAAGACTTTTCATACATATATGCAATAGTGCAAAACAGTAAATACAACATTTACAATCGATCAGAACAGGGACCTAGTCCCTGTTAAACAGTACAGTACAGTGCTATCAGTCTATACAGTTATTACAAAACAGATACAGATACAGACGGGGGAAATTAAAACGCCCCTAAGCCATAGATTGGCAGGCTCGGAACCTCGCAGTGAGGCACAGTAGTTGGCTTGACAAAAAGAGGGAATTTATCCCACGCTCCTAGCTCCGGTCTGGTGCCTGAACACCTACATATATATATATAAACAGTGAGCTAAAGCCCAGTGAATAACACAATGCGTAAAGAGGTTAAGAATGAATGTCCTTATAGTAATGAAAACAGTTCATTGATTCAATATATCAGTCGTTCAGTCATAACAGTCATATGTGGTACATCCATTAGCATAGCAGTACAGTAAACAGTAGGTCTGAAAAGACCAGGTCTTAACAGACCTAACAGTGGATGATGGCCATCATAACAGTAAATAGTAGTGGTTCCAAACTTGGGAACCGACAGAGATCTCTGTAACAGTAGCAGTCAGTACAGTAACAGTAGTTGCTATGGATGCCACAATACAGTTCAGAATAGAGGACATACATTCATTCAGTTAACAGTATAAATTCAGAAACAGTACAGTTCAATTGTTCAGAAGATAATCATTTTTGAACATATCTTTGCACAGTTGTTACTCACAGAGTTCTGGGCTACAATTAACCTAGAGCGCGTCTCCAGTCGCCAACCCTACACAGTTTACAGATTGAACACACACTAAGCTACACAGTTGGAAAAATAATAATTTAATCCCTAATTTGCCTCGGTGTGGTTCTGCATCTATATCCTCATTAAGATATCTTAAACTAGGCCTAAGAATGCCTAGGATGGGATGAGGATGCAAAGATGCCTTCAGAAAACATTTTCAGAATTTTTAGAAAATAGAGGTCCCGCTCGGGCGTAGGTTTCCCCGCTCGAGTGGTCATGCAGACATAGGTATCCGCTCGAGCGTAGACTTTCACGCTCGAGTGTTATGCAAAACAGGGCAAAAGTACTGGATGTGTGAAAATCATGCTCGATGGGCGCTCAATAGCCGCTCGAGCGTAACTCACAAGTCCTCGCTCAAGCGTCAAATACCACGCTCGAGCGGACTGTAAAATAGTGTAAAGTACTGGGAGCACGAATTTCACGCTCGAGCACCAGTAAGCCCGCTCGAGCGTAAGTTCAAAATTTGGAATTTCCAGATTTGAACTTCAAGCTCAAGTCTAACTTCGAATGTGTCAAATTCAATTCCTTTGGGCCCTTTTCCTGGAAAACATTTGTAAATACATAGAATAACATGATTCAAAGCTCAATTTGTAAAATTAAGGCCCAAGGGAAGATCAATTCAACATGATTTTCAAACCAAATTCCGTGAACATAACTTCAATGCAACATGCATGAATTTAAACCACTTTCAAGCTTTAAACACTTGCTCTAATGAGCCAATTGTTCCAAAAACAAGATGAAATCACGGTCCAATGTAAAATTATGAACATGCATGTGAGAAACTTATGAACAAACACCTCAAAACTCATGAATGGCAACATGCATGCAACAATTAAGCTACAATAAACATTATAAACCATGCCTTAGCTCTATCCTTTAACAATCCTCTAAAACATGCTAGAAGTGACTCAAATTAAACACAAGAAGGTACAAGCTCTACCTTATGTCTTCAATTATAAGAATATAGGCTCAAGTTTGCAATCCTCTCCTCAATTCTTTCAATTCCTCCAAGCAATACACAAGATGAAACCAAAATCTCTCTTCTCTCTCTCTAGTCGGCTATAGCAAGGACAAAGGGGCTGAGGAAATCTTTTTGTTTGAGTGTAATAGGGCTCAAAGATGTCTTAGGTAGTGGGCCACTAGTGTGGCAAAATGGTAATTTAAGCCAACAATGCAATTTAGCCTATTTTAATCTAATTTAATCATACCGAATCATATTTTAATTAAATATACCATAAAATCACATTAATTATGATTAACACAAAACATCAATCAATTTCAGATTCGGCCGCCGATAAGGCCTTCAATTTGCAGTTTAAACATAAAAACATGAACAGGTAATCAAACAGGCAACAGATAGAATAGTAAGTCGGCCTGCTCCTCTATTGCTAGCCCAGTATCTTCTTATTGTTCTATTACTTGTTTCTCGCCACCTTTTTCTGCTATCGAAGTAGTCAGCTGCACCAAGTTCGCGCTAGCGGCAAATTCTATCACGAAGTCAGCAAGGGCTTGAGCTTTGATAGCTGTACGCGGCTGGAACTTAATGTCGTATTGTCCCAGCTCTACGGCCCACTTTAGAATCTTATCGGTGAAGTTTGCCTTCTCAAAGAGCACCTTGAGTGGGAATTCGATCAGCACTACTATTGTGTAGGCATGAAAATAGTGCGCCAACTTCCTGGAGGCCATCATGAGAGCTAGTGCCAATTTTTCAAGTGGCAGACATCTCGATTCAGCTAGGGGCAGTGTCTTGCTAACGTGGAAAATAAGAAGGTGCTCGATCCCCTGAGGATGGACGAGGACTGCGCTTACAGCATGTTGAGAAACTGCCAAGTAGAGATATAGCTCTTTGCCCGGCTATGGTGTGACCAGGATTGGGGCCAAGAAGAGATAAGCTTTTAGATTTGCTAACGTGCGGTTGCACTCTCCATCCCAGAAAAATTTGGCTTTCAAAGTCTTGAAAAAGGGCCTGCAACGATCTGATGACCGATTGATAAATCTGTTCAGTGCGGCCGTCATTCCGGCGAGATATTGCATGTCCTTTGTGGAGTTTGGTTATTCCAGCTCTTGAATTGCCCTGATCTGTGAAAGGTCGGCCTCAATTCCTCGGTTGGTAACTAAAAAGCCCAAAAATTTTCCAGTTCCCACCCCGAAGGCGCACTTGGATGCATTCAATCGTAACTTGTGATATTTGAGAATAGCGGACATTTTAGCTAGGTCAATGAGATACTGAGACTTGTGTTTGCTCTTCACCACCATGTCATCAATGCAAGCCTCCATAGTGTGGCCCAATAGAGGGGCAAATATTTTGGTCACCATTCTTTGAAAAGTTACCCCGGCGTTCTTGAGGTCGAAGGGCATGACCTTGTAGCAGTACAAGCCCTTGGGCGTGGTAAATGATGTGATCTCTCTGTCAAGCTCGTACATGGCTATTTGGTGGTAGTCGCGGTATGCATCTAAAAATCTGAACCTTGAGTGTCCAGCGGTAAGGTCCACCAGCTAGTCGATCCTTGGTAGTGGAAAACTATCCATTAGGCAGGCACAGTTGATCATTTTATAATCAACGTATACCCGCCACTTTCCATTTTTCTTCGGTACTACCACCGTATTAGAGATTCATCTAGGGTATTGCACTTCTTCTAGTGCCCCAGCTTCCAATAAGTTTTTGACCTCCTTTGCCATTACCTCGGCATGATGCAAGGTTGAGCGCCGAGTTCTTTGAATGACCAGTTGTGCATTGGGAAATACATTTAATTGGTGGCAAATGAAGCTAGGGTCGACGCCAGGCATATCGTAAGGCGTCCACATAAACACTTGAATGTTGGAAACCAAAAAATGCACATAATCCAGCCGCTCAACGCTGAACAAAGATGATCCCAAAAGAAAGAATTTGTTCAGGTCATTCTCATCAATGCACACTTCCACCAAGTCTTCAACCGATTGCTCTTCGGCTTTTCTTCCCACATCTTCCAAGACCTCCTTTCCTTCTAGCCCTTCTATCATTTGGACAAAGCCATTAGCAACTCGGCTGCTATTTACCGTAACGAAACATTGCTTTGCCATTACTTGGTCCCTCCAAACCTTTTTTACTTGCTCAGATAGTGCAGGAAAGCGCATGACTTGGTGATAAGTCAACGCTACTGCTTGTATGGCGTGTAACCAACGCCTCTCCAAGATCAAGTTGTAGGTTGATGGGACCTTCAACGCCCAAAACTCAACTTGTTTTGTGATTGACTCGGCCTTGATTGGCAATATGATCTTTCCGATCGGCCATTCCGGTTTAGAGTTGAAGCCGACCAAAGGAGACGTCGCTAGAACCAAGTCTTTGTCCTCCAACTTTATTTGTTTGAACACATCGTAGTACATGATCTTGACCGAACTCCCTTAGTCGATTAGTATCCTTTTGATGTTGAAGTCTTTGACGCGAAGAGTCTCAACTAAAGTGTCATTATGAGGCGTTTGAATTCTTTCCAAGTCCTTGCTTGAAAAAGTTAAGACGTCTTTTATCTCGGTCTTTCCTTTCTTTACCTGAGCTAAAGATAGAGCACTTTCCTCATGTACTTGGCCTTCTTGATCAACCCCCTCAGCTCGCAAACTCGCGCTGGTTCGATGATACCATGAATAACATTGATTACTCCTTGGGGTGCTGCATCTAGGACGGCTAGGCCATTTGGCTTGGTCTGCCCTTATGGAGCGGCCCTCATACCCCCGTCAATGTACTAATCCAGTGCCCTGTCGCTCTTCCAAGTGTTGTTTGAGCGGCACACAGTCTTCCGTTTGGTGCCCCCTTTCTTCATGAAAGGTGCAACGATACCTCAAGTTGAAGCCCCTTTGCGTGTCTCCAATTTGGCCGGCCAACGCACGTATGGCTCACCTCAGATTTCACTGAGGATGTGATAAATTAGGATCTTAGAGATAGTGGTGATGTCGGTTCGTGCTTTCAACTTCCTCTTGGCATTTTCCTCTTCGCTGCGAGGAACGTTAGATCGGTCATTTTCATGGCTTTTGTTTCTGTCATTGCGGTTTGAACCACGATGTTGGTCTGTAGCTTAGTTATTAGGGCGGTTATCCTCCTACCCTACCAAGTGAACCTTCCTAGCCACCCTTCTGTCCGCCACAACCGGATTTGCCGTCTCAGTCGTGGTAGCAATGGCAGCATCATCCTCTACTCAAATGTGCTCATTGATCCATTACATTAAGGACTCCATGGTTGTGGACTGACGCATCGTGAGGGAGTCTCGCAACTTATACCCGACTGGTAGACCTCGCTTGTATTGGGCGATCACCAGATTGGCGGGGCAATCAAGGATCTCATTGTAGGTTTCCCAATACTTGGCATTGTATGCCTTCAAAGAACCACCCGACTCTATCTTGATGCTCAGGAGGTGGTTGACCTCTTTCGGTGTTCGAGTATTGGTCTTGAGCCTGGTGACAAAGGCCTCCGCTAGTTGTTGCCACCCCTCGATACTCTCCTCCAGGATTGCTGGGAATATGAGACACATCAAGGTGTTGTTGTGCTGGTGACCAGCCATTACTTGCCGGTAATGACTAACGTGTATGTACGGATCCGTCTTGCCGTCGTACAACATGAACTTAGGTTGGTTGAACCCGGCAGGGAGTGGTGTGCTTCCGATCTCTAGAGACAGTAGGGTAGCGATAAGTCTTTCTAGCTTTTTGTCCACCGGTGCTGGAGCCACTATTCTAGGCGCCGGCATGGCCACTTCCTCACTGCAATGAATTTAGGGACTTAGCCTTTGTAGCGTTGGCAATCTTTGGGTCTCTCTATGGAGAGCTCGCTCCTCTAGTACATCCCTCAGGTCCCTCGAACAGGTGGAGTAAGAGTATCTCGACGTTGTCGACGGACGTGAGGGATGGTAACTGCTGTCACACGTGTAAGATCTCTCTACCGGTGGATCAGAGTCGCTAACTCCATAGTTTCTGGTGATAGAGAGTGAGGATGTCCTATGTTGGCGACGACTGTCAGAGCGATAGGGTGAGGTGCGCTCACTGTGGTCGACTACTTCAGCAACACCCTTCCCCTTGATTTGGCGCTTCAACATTTCCATTTCATTTGCCATCTTCCGAATGAGGGCGTCCTGGTCTTTGAGTTTGTGCTTCAGGCGCTGAGCATGCAATTCTCCTCGCCGTCAGCGACCCTTAGGACTTTTTAAATGTTCAATGCTCCTTGCACGTTTGTCTCGCACGCCCCTGGAAAAGGTTTCCAGGCCCGCTATGGTTGAAATAACGAGAGAGACATCTCTCATTCGGACAGACTCTAGTGTGATGACATCAACAATGGACAGCGGTGTTCCGTCGTTGTTTGCCATGGGAAATGGGTGAAATAGCTTGGAGAGCAAGGTTTGTCTGTCAAAGTCTTCCCACAGACGGCGCCAATTGTAAGGGAAGGAAACATTCTCCATTCTCCATACTCCTTGGATCCAAGCTTCACGTAGTGTCGCTTAACTTGAGAACAGAAAGACGGTGAGCTGTCCGGCGGTGTACTGCCGGATAAACCCTCCGATGATCAAGTCAGAACACTTGGGAGAGAAGAAGAGTGAAGAGAGCACTATTGAGAGAGAAAGAGTTCGAAATTCTTTTAGATCACTTACCTCTAATGTCTCCTTGTACATCCTTTTCAAGGCTGGCCATATAGCCTCAGAGATTATGGGCGCACTACCTCTGTTGTCCTTCTCTTGGCAAGCGGATGTGCTCCCCTCTGCCTTTCCAACACGTGTAGAGACCAAAACCTCCAAACAGTGTATGTTGAATCGCAAAACGGTATTGATACATACCAGGAGTGGATTCCCCTCTCCTCGTCATTGGGCCACGTGGGATGCCAAACCGAGCTATTACTTGGTGTACCACATACTTTGATAGATAGCTCTATGCCAAGCTCATCCAGACCAGACTACGATGGAAAGCATCTCGGTTGCTAATCGTGACCTTATGGGCCATCTCTGTCCACACTATCGTGGACCGAACTACCTATAGCCTGGTCATCAAGCGATTCAGCTACCTAGAGTCCTGATTCCAAGTCAGTTCCGCCCGTTCAGTCCATCTCAGCTAAATCCAGCAAGACGCATCATCCGATATGAGTCTAGCTCAATCCAACGCCAGATATCGCGTGGATCTAGCTCGGCTACCTCAGTCCAGTTTGGCAATATACTCAGCGCGGACCTGATTCGGCCAGATAGCGTGCTCTAGGTTCCCTTTGCATGGCCTAACACCATGTTCCGTCCCATTTGGCCTGACTCACTGTTCCGCTCAAATCTCCTTCCTAATTATAATATTTTTTTTAATTATGACTCAAAAAATTAAAATTATATCATTTTAATTTTTAATTATAAAATATATATAAAAATGTGCAGCATAGTATTCTCTCTCCAAAATGCCCGCCACAATACGGGCTTTAAGGATAATGTAACTTTGATCATTTTTATTTCGTAGTTTGAATTAAACCCTTTGTCATTTAAAAAATATATATATATATATATTATATTTTAAAAAATTTATCAAATATTTTATATGAATGTGAGACTCACATAGGATCCACATTATGTGAGTCTCACATTAAATAAAATTTTTGATAAATTTTTTAAAATCTCTATCATTATTATTATTATTATTATTATTATTATTATTATTTTGTTCATTTCAACATCCCCAGGCAATTTTGTCATAGCTGACTTCATTACCTCGAAAAAACTGAAGATGTCTTCCAAAATGATATGGGCTACGGCTGCTAGCAAAGATTTATTTTGTTGTGGTTCGGCAATTGGATTTCTAGTTAGTTTTTTTATTTTTATTTTTTTTGGTTATTCTAGTTTGAGAAGTTTATTTGATTTAATTTTTTTGATTTTTTTAATTTTTGTGACAAAAAAAAGTAAAATCTATATTGTACGGGGAGCAAATATTCCGGCAAGCCCGTATTCCTTTCTTCCGAGCTCCGTTTATGTCCGATCACCTGCGAGCAAATAACGGTGGGCTACCCGGCGGTGTGTGGCCGGAAAAACCCTCCGACGATCAAGTTAGCACACTCTTTAGGATAAAGAGAGAGAGAGAGAGAAGAGTGTTTGAGTGTAAGAATTCCTTACAAAGTGTTCGTCTCTCGCGTATAGGGAGCGCAGACATGCTTATATACCCTCTGCGCCCCATATCCACTCCCAGTCATTTCCTGACACGTGGCTCCGCTATCCCATCTGTCAGCATAAACCTTGCTGATCATCACCTAATCTCAACTGCCTGCCTTCTCAGCTGGAGCTCGGCAGCCGAGCTGCTCTATCCACGGCCGTGCTGTGCTTCATACCCAAGCACTTCACTGGCTAAGCCCAAAGAGGACCGGGCTAGGCGGCATCTCGGCAAAGCCTAGCCCGGGGCACCTCCTGCGGTCGGCCTTCCTGCCGATCAAACGATTACCTCGGCTGACCACGCCTTTCCGGGCACCGGTCACTCAGCTTGACAGGCTCCACCATCGCCTAATCAAGCAGCTCGGTCCAACCGAGCACTTCCTTGCCGAGTAGCTTCTTTACGGTCTGGGGCGGCACATACTTGGCCCAACTCCTGCCCGGCCCAAGTTCAAGCAGCCCATCCCCGGGCGGATCACCGGTCATCTCGGCCCCATGCACCATTAGGCTCTCAACCTGCTCGGCCGTTACCTCGGCCCAATCCCAGATCATAAATCTCCCTCTCAATTGCCCCTTAATTCCGTCCGCGCGAGCGTGACTGGGATTACCTATACTTCGACCGGGGTAACATTTCTTCGGTCTTCAAAATGCCAAAGGGCGACCGGGCTAGTTAACATTACTGTCTGCAAACTTGCCCGGTTATACTCCTCGGTTGACGTCCTCTTCTTCGAAAGTAGCCTGGTTGGCTCTTCGACTCTTCAACCTGTCTCTTCAGTTCTGACGTCGCCATAAATGGGGACACGTGGCGGGCTGCCATTGGTTCTCAAGCAGCCAACCCGCCGTTTTTGCCAGAATTTGAATTTGGGCGGTCTCTCTCTTGTCTATACATACAAGACCTCTTCTTACTCAATTTCCTCCTACTGTCATTCTGCTATCCGACTCGCCAGAGCTCTAGCATCTTCCTCAGCTCCGCTTGCCATTCTTTGCGTCTGTGCTCGAAAGAAAAGTAGTTGCCCCTCATTGGTAAGACCTTCAATCCCTCTTTTGTTGCTATTTTCTTTAATATTTCACACATTAGGGCACTAAAACTTAGTTCTTAGGGCATAGGCCATAGAAACCGTCCCAAACCTCCCACTGTTCTTGGTGTTCTTTATTTTTCCTGAAGAACACTGAAAAACTGGGGCGGACCGGGCTCCTGGTCTTCATTCGATCCAAAAAACCAATCTAACCGAGCAAATAACATGTTTGTCTCAACCCCAGCAAAAACCGAGATAACAAAAGGAATTGGTCGTTCAACCGGGCTAGCAACTGGTCTGCTTGGGCGACCGAGCTCCTTAGTTAGCTTAGACGACCGAGCTCCTTAGTTAGCTTAGACGACCGAGCTCCTTAGTTAGCTTAGACGACCGAGCTCCTTAGTTAGCTTAGACGGCCGATGTGGTTTGGCACCCTTAATGACCGAGCTAAAGTCCAGCTCCTACCGCGCGACCGCGCTCACACTTACACTTGCCCTCCTTTTCTTGCAGAGTCTAAAGGGACCACTGTCCAATCATGAGGCTTCCAAAGACCAAGCAGCCACAAATCACCTGACGGTGCCAAACCAAAGCCGAGCTAATTCAGCCGGTCGTCAATGGGGAAATTTCGCTTCCTCGTTGATACTCCGAGTGCCCTAACTGCGTTCAGGGAGGAATACGGCATCCCGACCGATGTCCACCTGGAGCTCGCAGAGGAAGAGACCACGCCTTGGGGTAGAACAGAACAATGCCCTTTCACCGTGCTGTCAATCGTCGAAGGAGGCCTCCGCTTCCCACTAAACCCACTTATCACCGAGTTCCTTCGCCGCGCCGGGCTGGCACCCACACAAGTGTCCACCAACACTTATCGAATTATCAACGGCGTCCATGAACTGAACAATCGGCTAGGCATCAACTTAGGTCTAGCCGAGATATTGAGGCAATACACGATGGGTCACACCGGTGACGGCCTAGCCTATTACTTGAAAATCAGACCGGGCAAGGAAAAAATTGTAACCGGCACCCCGGATAAAGATATGCACGACGACGATTTTTTCTGGGTGTCGGGCAATTACGAAACAGCCGAGGTACCGGGCTGGTTTATAAGCAAGAACTTCGGTTCCTCATGTAAGCCGCTCAGACTTGCTCGGTCAGCTTAACTCTTTATACTGTAATTAACCGGTTTTCCTGTTTCTTTTGCAGCAATCCAAGCCTTGCAAGCCAACTATCAATTCCCCAACGTAGAGGCAATCAGGACCGCGCTCCGCTACCGCGACCGAGATTGCAACCAATTGCTCGGCTACAGTCCCACATACAGATACTCTGCTCCGCGCCGGAGTAGAGTAACAGACTTCCTCCACGCTCCAACACCTCCACCGGATCCAACTCTGCCAGACGTTCCACTCATTCGCTTGACTGAGGAGCAAGAGATGGCCAAACGAAGCAGAATCAAGAACCTGCGGACCGCCACATCTGCTGAGATGTCGAGCGTTGTCACCCGTTCGCCAACCGCCGGTCAATCCAGCGGCGCCGTGGTCGCTCTTGCCTCTCAAGCGACCGGGCAGTCCAGCCGAGAACCTG